GAAGATATTTACAAAGTAAGAATTCTGACTCCCTATTGAGTCTCTTAGTTAAAACTACTAAACTCCTCAAATAGACACAAGGTATTAACCATAACAACAACATACTAGTGCACAGAATATGCTTAAATACACAAAAAGAAATTGAAATTCTCCCATCATCTGATCATAGTGCAATGAAACTGCAAATCAATGCTAAAGAAACCACATGGAAACAAAAACCTATGAAAATTAAATAACACAACACTGAACTCCTACTGGATTAGGAGAAATTAAAGAAGGAAAAAACAATACCTACAATTAAATCATAATGCTGATACAAAACACTGGAACTTCTGTGATACAATAAAACTAGTTCTACGAGGGAAATAGCCGGAGGTAAGCTGCAATATCAAGAAAACAGAATTTGGTCAAATCAACCACCTGATGTTGAACCAAGCTTAATGGTGGCATACACTGACAAATACACAAATTTACAAAAGAAATCAGTCGAATGAGTTTACCTGGGAAAAACATCAACCAACAGTGAAATGGATAAATAAAGCAAGAGGGCTGGTGGACTACATATTAATCTGACATCTAATGTTGACAATCAGTGAGAGTATTTGAAGTCCAACATCAAATCTGCATCACAGCAAAAAAAGGCAAGAAGAACCGAGGAGTATAAGAGAGCAACATGACAGGAGATATATAGAAGGAAGAAGAGCTTGAGCAGAGTTTTCCACCATAAGAAATTTGTATTTGACTCTGAATCAGCGCAAGAGGCACCAAAATCTCTGAATAAAGGCATGACATGATGAAACCATATTTGGAAGGGTCATTTGCACATTAGTTTTGCTTTCCAAAGAGCAATGCAGATACTGTATGGAGCTCCTAGAAAAACCTAAGAGCTAAGATGGAGATTCTGGCCTGAGCCCCTCCCCCAAAGCCTATGGTCATTCCTGGGAGCTGATTTATCTCTGTATCCTGCCCTGGTGCACTAGCGGACATGAAGGACTCCAGAAAGAGAACATGAGAAAAGCACCTGGTTTCTCAGACACAGTTGAGGGTGAAGGAATGTGCTGCCCATTGCTCTCACTTCTTTCAACACAGAATGGCAGCTGTGAGGCAGTGAGGTATAGAACTGCAGCAGAAGAAGGCATCTCATTCCCACAGTAAGGACACAGGAGTTTCCTAAGAATTTGATTTGGAGTCATTGTACACTGAATCCAGGGCTCACAATGCTTAGTGTATCTTCTACACCTCTACAGTCATCAGAATTCTGGCTATTTCAAATAGTCCCAGAGAAAATATTACTTCTCCAGCTGTTCCAACAAAAAAATTTGAAAAACAAAGACAAAAGTAGGAAATTATTACATCTCAGATATATAGAAACGGTAGAAAAATCATTTATATTTGTGAGAGATGTGACTGGCACACTTCTTTAATGTGTAAGAGAGATGAATAGGTACAAGTCCTGGAATGTTTGTGGAGAAGACCACTTGAAGAGCCACAGTTGTTCTATCTTTGACTGAACTGCCCTGCCCTCCAGTCTGCAGATGGACCTTTTACATTCTTCCACCCCTGAATCTTCAGATGGCCATATGGTATCACATATCTATATCTATCTATCTATCTATCTATCTATCTATCTATCTATCTGTAATTCTTCTAGTGAATCCTAACTGATACACCTATAAAGATAACAGAAAGTAATCTAACTCATTTGTCCTTTTCATTTTTACTAAAATAGCTCAATCCGAAATTAATGCCACAGAGAGATACAACATGGCCAAATAGAAGAACAGTCTTTTTCAGAGAAGATCCACAAAAAGCACAGATATTTGGAAGAAGGGCAAGGACACACACTCTGATATAAAATTACTGCCATAGAAGAAAAAAATGTGATTGTTTTCACAAGGTTGTTGACAGATCACAGAAGTAGATCCCCTGCCCAAGCAGGAGAAAATAAAACTCAAGCAGATCTGTTATTCACACCTGTATTCAACTGGAAGCAAGTAGCTTCCTCCAGCAGCTCAATCAGCAGAGGACTAATGTGAAAAAACACAACAGACATCCTGTGTCTGCCAGTATCTGCTGTAGCCAACAACACCTTATCACCTAGCCTTGGACCCCTTACTCAGAAACCTAAATTTTTTTTTTTTTGTCTTTTTCCTTTTTACTGGTACCAGGGATCGAACTCATGACTGACTGCTTGCAAGGCAGGCGCTTATGCTGCTGAGCTAAATCCCCAGCCCCGAAACCTAAAATTTTGTACCCTTCTCCAAATGACTCCCTCCTCTACCTAAACTCCCCTATAAAAACACACACTCACCACTTGCTCAGGGTCACGGTCTTTTGGCCCTTGGCTCAAACACAGTGGCTCTGCATCAAAGTCCTCCCTGTTTCTTCCACCTCGCCTTCCTCAGATGTCTCATTTCTACCATGGTTTACTATGTCAATAGTCTTTATCAGTCTTATGCTATCAAAAACTGCTGATAGGGGCTGGAAAATTAGCTCAATGGTAAAGTACTTGCCTAGCAAGTGTGAGATTCAGTTTGATTTCCAGTACCCTTACCCACTCTCCAAAAAAGAAATCTACTATTAAACTGTCTGAGGTGACAAATATATACTACCCTAAGGGACCACTGAATACTGTATATGTGAATTGAAATGTCACACTTACTATTTTTAATTACTGTGTATCAATAAAAAATTTTTAAAAATATTTTAATTCTTCATAGAAACATTTGGCAAGTATTTATGGAATACGAGGTCAACTATTCCTCCATAATTTCTTGCTTTATTATTGACAAAGAAACAGTCACCAAGCCACATGTTGGACCAGTCTTATCATTCTAACGTGTCACAGAATACTTAGTTTAAGAATGATGACAACTACATGAGCCGTCTCACAATGCACATGAGACCATGCACTGTTGTGTTATGGGGCAGCACTGAAAATTCTCTCCCATTCCATTCTTCAGTCTCCTCTGCATCCCTGTGTGATAGATGTACAAGACAGTTCCCTCAAAAGTAAATCAGGAAAAGCTTCATGAACAATCAGCATGTTTTTTCCATTATTATCACCAAGTTCCAATTTTTTTTTATTTAAAAAGAAAAAGAGAAAAAAAGCAGAACAAAACAAAACAGTGTAAGGGTACAAGTAATTCAGAACTACCAAAAAAAAACCAGTAAGCTATAACCAGTTAATAGATTGCACACTATCATCTTAGAAACGGTGTTTCAGGTCATAGGATCAAAGCATACAAAGTAAACATTCAAACAGTGAGACTGCAAATAGTTGTATTCAGTAATCCAATCAAAAATATTAATATGGTCTTCTATTTAACACACCTAAACACCCTTGCTGTTGTATCCTTTAGGGCACTTTTTTTTCCCTCTCTCTATTACAACAAAATTTACACGTTTTGGGTTTTATTGCTCCCTTAGATCTTATTACTTTTTTTTTGAAGAGAATAAAATCAAGCATGATAAAACAAAGCTGTCAGTCAAAATCAAGGAAAGACCTAGCACATGATGTAAAAACAAAGTACAAGGTTATCAACAATGGTTACCATAATGCCTCTTGCTTCCTTAAGAAGAATTGTCTATCTCATTAGGTATTATAAAGTTGAACAAAACAGTAGAGAACAAGACCAATAAAACCTAAACATTGTAAATCTTACAGAACCTCAAAAGAGGATAATAGTCAAACCAGAATGGGCATCATAGTGAATCTTATTGCCTTCAAAGTAGTTGCCTATACTCTCAAACTTGATACTACCATACAGAACGGAACAGAGTCTAATCAGTCAAAACAAGATAATGGGGGTATTACAAGACTTAATGCTAATAGGAAATCAAAAAGTTACTACAATATATCCTGCTAGTTTTTTTCCCCTTAGTTTAAAAAAGAAATTTAAAAAATTAAATAATTTTTAATGAATAAGGGAGAAGTTGAGATAAAAGGGGGCATAACAGCATAGCAATACAGGTTAAAGCATGACACTTCCAGCAACCTACTGCTTCACCACCAAATAACCCGACTTAATAGTAGCTACCATAGTGTCTTTTTCCTTGAAATATTTGAATATAACTTCATATGTTATAGCATCAAACATATCAACACAGTGTAACACTATTCAAGTGGATGAAAGCATTGTAGAGTATTTAGAACCAGCTAGAGGACCTTCTGATCTAGTCATGCCCATTCTAAATGTACTCCTTCTTGGCATCTTTCCATGCTAGGCTGGAGTTTATGCTTATGATGACTTCAATTGTTTCATATATACAGTGCAATTACACAATGTTATTAAATTCAGAAATAATTTTGTGTCTGTGTGTGTGATATTTTAATACTCTGTGATTCAAAAGAATGCCTTTAGACAAATTATTGAATAACATCCAAGGCCTAGAACATAGAAGTCTAACATTTTCTTTACTATGAATCTGTATGTTTTTATGAAAAAGGAGGTTTTTCTATCTGCACTACCATGCAAGACAATAAAACATGCGATATTAAAATTATTGAAAGATTTACAATCTAATGTTTCCATCTCTTCTATAGTAAGAGTTTAAAATAATATTTTAATGAGAAATAAGAAGACAAATATTTATAATTTATTATTAAAATTCAACTATCCATAGTAAAACACAAAGAGGAAATGAAATAGTCAAATAACAATATGAATACAAATAACAATACAAATACAAATAACAATAACAAAATGAAGTAGTCAAATAACAATATATGTAGCCAAACCATGTACTGATATAAGAAAATATCTTGGTCAGCTCCTTCAAAATACTATTGTTACCAAATTTATTCCTCAATGTGATAGTTTTCCTTATAAGATTTTACTGACCCTATCTGAACTCTATTTATCTTCATAAATAGGTAGGTCACACTTACCAACTGACTCAGACCAAGAATCAGCTGCATTTCAAAGACCACACACATTTCAAGAAACACACACACATATGCACACACACACAGAGAACTGTTTCTATTTCATACTCACTTTTAAAGGAGTCTATGAAGGACCAAAGACTCGGTCATTTCTATTGAGCAATGTGCTTCTATTTGCTAATAAAATGTACAAACAAAACCTACAGACCTTTCCCTCCACACAGTGGTATTCACTGGGCTCAAAGGCGGTTCAGATCCCCCAGGCCCCTGATCTCAGCACACCAGGGTTCAGAGGCAGAGCTCAGCACTCACTGATTTTAAAAAGTTTTCAGAGAGTAGAGAGGAGTCAAGGAAACTTCTAAACAGCACCTGCAGGGCAGTTTTCATCTTAAGACAGGAAGCATCTGAGCTGTACTCCAGTTCAATACTATGCTTTCCAGGTCTCCCATAAACTCTTGGGTTCACCTGGCCCTCAAGGCCTCAATCTCCCAATTAGCTGGACTGCATCCAGTCTGGGCTTCTCCAGTTGTGCTGCACCCTGAAGACCTCCCCAAGCATCCCCACTCTGCTCCTGGCTGCCTCCTCCTGTGCCTCCCCTTCTCCATGAGAGCTGCAGGGTCCCTTCTGTACTCCTGGTAGGTCAGTTCTGAGACTGGAGGCAGTCCTCAGGCTTCCCTTACCCCAGGGGCCCACCGGCCTCTCCCCCAGCCAGGCACTCACCGCTGGGCAACTTGAGAAGGCACCAGTAGGACACAGGACTGCTGGGCCCACCCAGATTCTAGTAGAAAATACCAGTGAAAGCAAACAGGATGCTGAGCCTCGGGGCGTGGCTGAGCTTCCTGTGCCAGCAGGGCTCAAGTGGGAATTCACTCTCTAGCCCTGATGGCAAAACCTGTCGGGGTTATATAAGGGTCAGTTACTGGGGGCTTAGGGATGCTGAACTGCACATTGGTCAGGGGCCAACACTGACCTGTGGGCTTCTGAAGACTCCCCTTGCACCTAGGGACAAACCCGTTGCTCCTGCAATACTGGCTTTTCCTAATGCAGAGGTCGCTGTCTCTATGGGTTTTCCTGGCCTCACAGGGATTTGAGCTCTGCCCCGGTTCCAGAGCTGAGCTCTGAGGACTCAGGGAAGCCTCACAGATTGCCCCTCCCAAGGATGATAGTCCTTTCCTGATCAGTGTGCTGAGAGGATATTAGAGGGTTGGTCTCCAAGTCCCTAAATATAAACAACTGATTCTACAGGGCTTGGGGCTAGGGCACAGACTGGGTGGATGAAGGTGTGTCCCTGAAAGTCTTCAGTATTATTCCTGGCAGGGCTCCAGGAAGCACTTCCTTGCACTATTTTGAGGCTCAGGAACCTACAGAAATGACTGTGGGTTCAGGAAAACAGCCTGCTATCAGGTCCCACGTTTCCTCCAGGAAATGATCACATGCCACACCAAACAAAACTCACTTAAACAGTAGGCTACTTATTTAAATCATTGAGAGGAATTCTTGTTAATTGTTCATTCAGTACAGGAAAGGTCCAGCAAAAAGCCTAGAGGAGGAAATTGACAGAACATAATATTTTATAATTTTGAAAATACTCTATTGTATACTTTTAAAGAACTTTAACATTTGCATCTAATTATTCATTTAGCTTCAGTTCTGTTTGTTCATACTCTATTGTATAATTTTAAAGAACTTTAACATTTGCATCTAATTATTCGTTTAGCTTCAGTTCTGTTTGTTCATCCACTCATAAAGACTCACATAGAAATAAGTTTTTGCCATGATTCTTTGTAAGGCATAGTTATGGCAACACTTTCAGATATTGTTCTCATTAGCTGTTTTGATAATAGCAAGCTGGGAGAGAAGATTCCAGAGGGAATAAATCTCTTTGTATCTGTCTATCTTTGTCTCTGTGTCTCTGTCTCTCTCTCTCTCTGTCTGTCTCTTTCTCTCTGTCTCTCTCTCTGGCTCTCTCTGGCTCTCTGTGTCTCTGTATTTCTGTCTCCCTCTCTCCCTATGTCTCTCTCCCCCTCTCTGTCTTCCTATATATAGTGGGAGAACTTATGAAACACAGAGGAACAACACAAAAAGCAAGGTAAAAGCAAGGTAAATCAACAATAAATTTCAGTACAAATTTCTGGAATTATATAACTAAATGGAAAAGCAGGGGAATTTTCTCAGCACTTCATGTCCCAGCATCAAAGAAGGTAAAATATTATATATATATATATATATATATATATATATTCACCACAGAGCATACATCAAAAATCTATACATAAAAACCAAGCTGGATTCAACAGTGTGCAAGAAAATTTTAGCTTCCTCATGATAGTAACATGAATGTCTTCCTTTTTTTTCTGAGTGTAACATGCTACAGTTGTTTTAATAGTAACAAAAAATGGACTTTGTTTAAAGGTAAAGAAATAAAATAATATTCATATAAAGAGACACTGCAATGCTCATAGTCACATCTTCAACCAAAATAGAATTAAAGCAAATTATACCAAAGACATTATCTGGACTCATGTGGGACATGCGCTGTGGGGTTTAGGCCCTTGACTAAATAATCAGTGTCTGTGGTGTTGTGGATAGATTTCCTGCATTTTCCTGTGTTAACTTCTGGTGACCATTATAAAAATATTATAAACTCCATGTCCTGAACCTAATTGTTCTCTGTGTACAATCCCTGACTACAACAGGGGCTGACAGATCATAGTTTGCTTTAATCTCAAATCTCTAATTTACAGAATAGTTTAGGTTATGCTTTGCTTATTGAGAACAGTTTTTGCTAGCTAAATTTGTGTCAGTTCCAGTCTTTACCAAGCTGATTGTAAGCTACATCAAATTTTATTTGTTCCCCAAGATTCATTTCACAATGTTCAGCTGTCCAGTCACTCAGAGGCCTTTACAGCCATGATTCAATAGCCCTGGCTTCTTCTCAAGCTGGCAGCAGATCTTGGCATCATCTGCCTGGTGCTGGTTTTATAGACATCCAGAATGCAAGAGCTATGGAGTACTAGAGATTCCCACTCATATTCCAGAAATCCTGACAGGCCAGGCTAACAGGATAAAGAAACCCTTCCATATTCCATGAGAGGATGTGTGTGGAGGTTTGAGAATGAAGGCAAAGGGTACAGCAGAACCCAAGGAAGTTGGGATGACAGAAACAGGAAGTATCTGGTGAGGAGTGCCTCAGAAAAAAGTGGCAGCCATCGCAAGAACGAAGTCATGGGACTTAAAATCAGCCAGATCATACCACTGGGGCTTGTCAACCCTTTTAGAGCTCAGATTTCAAAACAGCCTGTCCAAAATGTCAACCATGGAACTACAGAATTTAATTCTTGCTTTTATTTTTTGCCCTACTGGTTGTCAGCTTTACTTTGGTTCTCTCTTTCCATCCTCCTAACTCTGTCTTTTGGAATGGTAATGGTTTCCCCTGTGCCACTGTATGTTAAAGCGTTTAACATTATTTTTATTATTATGGGGCTGTTACGGATTGAGAACTGGTGGTCAATTTAATGCCAGCTGGATTACATCAGCATGCATTAAGCGAAGATGCTCCACCTGAGGAGGGGTTGCCAGGATAAACAGGTGGAGAAGAAGGGAGGTGTAGAGGGTTGAGGTGTTAAGGAGGCATTGTGGGTTCTTCTACAAGTTGCTGTCTGAGCTGTTGGTTCTCCTGGAGAAGCTTTGGTCCTCACATCGAGCATTGCTTCCTGGCTCCTGAGGGGAAGACATGTCCTGCTTGGTCTCCAGTATGAACTCCTCATGCTGCCTTCTGGCACGTACCCGACTGTGCTTGTCCTCAGAGGAGCTTGGGACTCCGTGTCCCTGAGGATGGCTGTGGTGCCTTTCAGGATAGCCCTGGTCTTTGTTGTGAGTGTGACTTCTTGGCTCCAGCGTAGAACCCTCATCCCACTAGGACAGCTCCTTCATCCTGCTGGCATAGACTTTCTAGCTTCCACCTCTGACCCTTGGGTCTTCCTGCCAAGAATCCATAAAAGAGACTGGTGTGAGTCCTTCTTGTGGGCTCTGGGCCTCCAGTTGGGCTCGTGGGAGGCATTGTCCTGAGCTCTGGGATTTTATCTGGACTCATGTGGGACATGCGCTGTGGGGTTTAGGTCCTTGACTAAATAATCAGTGTCTGTGGTGTTGTGGATAGATTTCCTGCATTTTCCTGTGTTAACTTCTGGTGACCATTATAAAAATATTATAAACTCCATGTCCTGAACCTAATTGTTCTCTGTGTACAATCCCTGACTACAACAGGGGCTGACAGATCATAGTTTGCTTTAATCTCAAATAAAACTTAGGAGTTAGACTTGTTGAAACAATGCTGAAACTATCAAGACTTTGGCAAGTGTTAAAGACCAACAAAATAGATTTTGTATAATGAAATTGACATGAGCTTTTTAGGCAATAAGAAGGAATTTAAGGTTTAGATCTTAAATGTCCCCAAAATTCTCATAATTAAATGTGCAACCGGTCAGAGTGGCCTAATCTGAAAGTGTATCTGTCTTCCTGTATCTCCATTTCTCACTCTGCTTCTTTTACCATGAGAGAGCACCTTTGTCTCCTCCATATGTCCTGTTATCCTGTTTGCCTTTAGAACCAGAAAACTATGGGACTCGAGCTGTGTATAAAACATAAAGCTCTTGTTTTAAAGTGTAATTGTCTGGTATTTTGTACCAGTGATAAAAAAGTGACTACAATAACATACATGTCCAGTTACCTCAAAAAAAAAACCAAGCATGCAAATAAATATAAATGAAATTAAGAAAAATATACTTAATCTTTAATGTTATAGCATATATCTAGCTGACCCCTCATAGACTCATGCACTCATAGGTGGGGATTATGGGATGTGACTGCCTTATGGGTAAATGATAATGCTTCATGGGTGTGTATTACATTAGTCAAATGGTTGCTTTCCCACAGCTCTGCCTGTTGATGATGAGGCAGAACCGTTCTGAAGAGGGAATACTTTCCCTGAGTATGGGTGGCCCCAACCAATAGGTTGGTACACTGGAATAAAAAAAGAAATGCCATGTTATGAACCCCTTTCCTCTTCATGCCTCTTTCCCATGATATATGCCTTGGAAACATTCTGTTATACACTGAAACCTCTACAAAATGTGAACCACAATAAATCTTTTCTCCATTAACTTTTTTAATCTCGTAACTTCTGTTTTTGCTTGTACGCTATGATTAATTTTCAATATGCATCAAGGATATTGTTCATATACAGTAAGGTAGTGCATCTGGTTACATTTTTTTGCTTGTTTGTTTGTTTTGCCAAATTAACTAGGAGATTTTGTTAGCCTCTGTCTTTCCATATAATTATTAGACAAGTCTGATGAATTCCTGAAAAAATAAAGAGGAAAAAGCATCAGTGAAATTTGCTTTTAATATGTTAAATATATGGATTAGGTGAGTATGAATATATCTACCATATTAGAAACATGGATATTCTTCATTTATTAAGATGTTTGTTTCTATCCATTATTTCTTAAAGATCTTGTGAATCCATTGACATGAATAGTTTTGTTGCAGCTATAATTTAATTTGTATTTTGTAATTTGTTGTTTTGATGAACATAATCATGTCTTTCAGTACATGTTATAGTAATAAATCACAAT